AAGCATTTCTCTTGCCACCATCCACGGGGAATCTGCAGAAGATGATGGAAAGTGACGAAGTCAGTGGGTTTAATAGACAGTGACCAGTTGTTACCATCACTCCCAGAGGATATTTTCCCTGCCTGCTCTGTACCTACTCTTCAATGGGGCAGAGCCAGGCAGGTTGGCATCCCACCGACCCTGTGCTGTTCTGTGTGCAGGTGACAAGGACCTGGCTGATAAGTGACACTGTTCTGGAGCACTGAGCCTTCAGAGAACTGAATGTGTGAGGCTGGAGAAGAAATAGCACCCAACATTCATCCTCCAAGGCCATAACCTTACCTTCCTTCAGACAGCCCACCACAGAGACAAGCCCCTCAGCATCTGGGGCTTTCCGGGCTCTTGAGCAGTGAGCAAAGGAAACAAAGCCCTGGTGCTGCAGCACTGTTTACATATTTGGGCTGTTCTCAGGTCTGTTCTCTTGCTGTACCACTAGGTGGGCCAGAGCCACACGGTGAGAGGCTTTCTCCTACCTCCTGCAGGTCACGGGCATGCAGGTGATGGGGGAAAGGGACAGGAAGGGCAGGGGTGCAGGAAGGGAGCAGGGAAAGATGTCAAGGAGCTTCTGGTTTCACCCCAAGCCGTGCTGTTAGATAGGCCCTAGATGGAGAGGTCTCCTGTCCTGACAAAGTGACGATCTCAGGCACAGCAACTGGGCATGGACTGGTGGCAAGAGCAACAGCACAGCCCCATTGCCAGCTCAAGGCTTGGTCCTACCACCTACTGCCCATCTAAAGCAGCTAACAGTGCCAGCAGGTAGAGCTGCAAGCACACACAGCAGGAGAAAGGAACCCTCCCCTCAGATAGCTGTTTCCTTCACCAAAGGTGAGGTGGCAGAAGCTCCAGTGTATAAAAGGCCATAGGGAAGGAACATCCATCATTCTGCTCTGCAGCAGGTCTAGCAGCTCTGCAGCTCTCTGGGTGCTCTGCTTCTATTAAATAGAAAAGCAGGCCTTATGTCTTAACTCTTCCCACCTTTGGTTCTGGATCTCATGCTTTCAACTTTCCTTCATTTTCCTATGAGTTCTGTGGTCAGAGGGCAGCAGTGTCATCTACTTAGTACAGAAATGCTTTGATGCGAAACCAGGAGCAACCAAAATCCCAGTCTGCCGCTGGCACAGAAGAACCTGGACAGAGGGGTCAGAGATTTTAGGCACTGTCAGATGTACGCTGTCCATGTGTAGCTGGGGACAACTTGCATCCTACAGAGCTGAGAATCTCAGAGCCCGGAGAAGAAGCAATAGCCTATAGTTACCTCACTGAACTTCAACCATCTGGAGACTGAACACCAACTGGAAATGAAATCCAAAATAGAGAGATGTACAACACCAAATGCAGTCCAACCTACCTCCCATGGGCTACAGCCTTCAGTCAGCTGTGTTGCTCAGGTTTCCTTTGCTCCACTGGCCATAGAAGCAGCCAAGGGTTTGGCAGCAGGGTTTGGACAGCTGCAGCCTGGGAAGTCAGCAAACAAATCTGGTGATCACCCTGCTGGGCACCATGGCAGGTTGTCTCCCCACCAGGACTGTGATTTTGTGCCCACCCCTGAAGATCCACAACTCAGAACTTCTCCATAAGCAGTGCCAAGAGCAAAGAAGCCAAGGCAATGCTGCAGGCACAGAATCATAGAATCATGGAATCATTAAGGTTGGAAAAGATCTCTGAGGTCACCTAGTCCAACCATCAAACCCACTGGAAGCCAGATCCTGCCAACCCTGAAACATGTCTCCAAATGCTGGTCTGAATATTTGGAAGAGATGTGGATGGGATGGAACCCAATGGACAAGCATGGCAGAGTTCAGCCAAGGTTTGACATCAGGCCCTAAAAACCATTCTTGGAAGAAAATGCTGCTGATTTCAGCGATCAAATGCAAGAAGTCCTGAACCCCGGCAGCCCTTGGCAGCCTTTTTCCTAGCTCAAACACAATTTGTCCCTTAAAGGGCACTAATTCAACAGTACTGCTGATAAAAGCTAATGAACCTAGGGTAGTTCCCAGCTCAGAGAATAGCTATCATACACCCAACTGCCTTTTTATCAGCACGATTGAAAGCAGTTGGTGTCAGAGCAAGTGGCAGCGCTGCCTGCCAAAGGAATCAGTGTGATCCTGCTTTGTGTATGTGTGTGTGTGCCTATGACAAAGTGGATTATCTCCATCCTGCCCCGCCAGCAGCTGCGGGGCTGAGAGGGAAAAGGGAGAGTGGCTGAATGTGTCCCTTCAGGTGAAGTTGCTTGGTGCTTCCAGGTGGGAGGGGCAGAGGCTCTGGGGGATGTTTAAGTCTCTCCCCAGGAACAAAAGGAGGGGAGATTAACTCGACCCCTGCGAGGGATGCATGTCGGACCCTTCCTCCTCGTTTGCACCTCACCAGGGACCCCCACGCCAGGGCTGGTGTCTGGGGGTCTGTGTGTGTGTGTGTATGTGTGTGTGTGTGTGTGTTCCGTCTGCAGTATGAGCAATTTCACTTGAAAAGACAGAGAAATCCCCTCCTTTGAAAGCCTCAGCGTTTGGTTCTTTCCAGTAATGCTATAATTGGATGGGATTTTCTCTAATACAGAGGGAAAGTCCTTAAGATGATTTTTCCACACACGCCGCCACCACCACCACCGTCCTCCTTTCTTCCTCGCCCTACCTTATGCGACCAAACTCCCTTCTCCCTCCCCAGATCCCATCACCCCCAGTGCACCCAGCAGCACCGACGCTGCAGGGATTTAATGGGAGAGCATGGGTCCCTCCTCTGGAAGCAGCAAGCTCGGATCGGCTGCAGCTCGGCTACACGGGGCGATTAGATCTCAGCACACTTGCCAGCGCTCCCATTTGCAATCACTTGTCATCCAAGCCTAAAGAAAATAATCAGGGCCCGACCCCTGCCAAATTCCCAATGATTTAAATATCCCCGTATGAACTGCGTTTCTGGTGTAATTTCACTAGAATGAGTCTATCTCTCCATCTAGCTAAACACAAACACGTCTTTATATATATGCATATAAAGCTTTCTGTGTGTAAATATAAATATTCCTTGCGAAGGGAAAATAGGTATGCAATCCTTAATGAGAAAGAAAGCGCATTTTGATTTGAGCAAAGGCACGGCTGTGAGCCTTCCTCCAACCGAGTCATTAAAACCGTACCTCTCTTTGTTCCATGTGAGCCACAGAGATGTTCTGATCCACAGATAAAGTGTAACCTCGTCAAGCAAAGAAATTAAAAAATAATAGCAATAAAAATATAGATATTAAAGGAAAAAAAATAATAATAAAACCCAACCGCGGACCCCAAAGACGTCGCGGAAAATGGGATCCTTGTCGTTATGCCGGGGACAAAACATCCCGAAGCCCATCCAGCGTGCCTCCATCCTCCTGCTTGCTCCTCTCCAACCCCTTTCAAACGACCCCGGGGAAGGGGAACGGCTGTCAGCTGGGTGACACTCACTGACGGACACCGCCAGCTTCCAACAATGTGTCCCAGAGGAGCAGCAAATCGAAGCGCACACCCCGGCCGGAGCAGCTACGTCTTTATAATCATATTCCCAACGATGGCTTTCTCCTTCTTTCCACCCCCAATGAAAACATGAGGGGTATCAGAACCCAACTCACCCCCTTCCCCCCCCCCCCGCAAGGACAGAAACGGTTGGCGATGCGTAGAGAGAGAGAGAGAAATGGAAATTAAAAAAGCAAGCAAGCAAACAAACAAACAAACAAAAAGAAAGAAGAGATCAATGACTGCAGCCCCGTGGGGTGGATCTGGTGGATGAAGTCGTTTGCGGCGGAGCGGTGGCAAAGTCCAGGCTGGGACTGCAGCAACGGGGATGGTGTGGATGGACCCCGTTGGGATTTGCGTGGAAGAAGAGGATTTTGGAGCAGAGATCTTCGCTGGAGCTGTGGGATCTCGGGTTGGTTGGAGTGGTGGGGAAGGGGGGTGCGTGGTTGGGGTGTGTGTGTGTGTTTGGGAGGGGGGAAATGCCCTATTTCTTTTCTTTTTTTTTATTTT